GGAACGAACATTTAAAACACAAACTTTTTAATATAAAAAATAAACACCTAAAACTTGCTCCTTCAAAAAAAAGAAAGAAAGAAAACCCCTAAAAAACACACCTTGTCCAGTTCCACCTGCTCTGTTCAATAGCTTAGGATAAAGGCTGCAATTACATTTTGTGGGATTCACAAAATGCAGCAAGACCAGCTTGGGGAAGAGTACTGTGAGAAAGACATGCTATCTGTGATGCCGAGGTCCTCTTCAAAGACAGTATTTATTCCTGTAGAGATTGTCTTTTCAAAGTGGTTATTGCCCAGCAGGCAATATTTTTCCCCTGGCACAATTCCTGAAGAAAGCTTTGTTAAGCAGCTGTGAAGTTAGGCTGGAAAGCATTCATCCCCTTGGGTATCTGAACCTTCCCATCATCAGCACCGCATACTAGACACCAACAACTACAGAGTACACCCTCTCATACAAAGTCCATTCCCACTCCTTTAATTTGAGAGATAAGGAAACTGTGGTCTGTATATCACCTCCTTTAAATGAATGTATACAATATTTAGAATAAGTCCAGCAGCTCAACTCTCATCAGGGATTACTGATTGATCGGTACAAAACCACACCTCTAGCAGAGGGAAGCAGCTTTCTCATGAAACAATCCTTTAAAATGTCATAAAACCGCCTCTCTCACCTTGATCCTGACATGATATATGATCAGTTCGTGTGTAAGCAATGAATGATGCCTCTTATGACTATTAGATTTAATTCCCATTTTTCCTCTCATCCCACTATTTTCTTCTCCCTGATCTGAATGCACTCAAAAATGTTGCAGTGATATAGATAACAGCAACACATTACTAAGCAGATACTAAAATCCCAAAGATTGTTTGTATTCAAAGCCAGGGATCTCCTGTGAAAGAACTAATTCTGTGCTACAGTTTGTCAAGGTGTATCATAGTCGTCTACATCATTTGAAAGAACCGAAGCATGCATAGCTAATAGCGATATTCCAGCTATGTATTCCATTGCTCAGTTCAAACATCACTTCAAACCATGGCTAGGAACAAACCATAGTTATGGCTCCCGAGGCCATTGCAACTTACCAACAGGAGAGCTGAGGAGAAGAAAATGAAAACAGTTCCTATATACTTGCAAATCGAAACTATTGCTTAGGTTCCAAACCATGGCTATAGCAAACCAGTTTGCCATAAAGGGCACAGAGCCTGTATAAAAACTGAATTTCTTGCTACGATTTTATAGAGGCATGATATTGCTTCATCATATATTCAACAGAACACCAACTACAGTGGCATGTGCCCAACTCACGTTTACAATTTTGGAATAATGTCTTCCCATGAACTTTGTATTTTAGGGAAGGAAGGAGGGGTGGGGTGTGCTTATTATAGAGGGGGGATATCTGTATGTTCTTTGAAAATCAATTTTAAACATCTATTTTTAAAAATGTGAACCATACAGTAAGATTGAGGCGAACCCCCTCTTAACTACTGCTTAATTTCTGTTTTTCTAAAGAAAACTCTGGTACTTGGGAGACTTAGGTAAGTTAAGTAGGGGGGAAAGCTTTATTTTACAGAACAAAACTGGTAAAACAAAAGATGTCAGTTGATAGAAATCTTTCAAGTGTGTGTGTGTGTGTATGTGTGTGTGTGAAATTTAGTGTATGTAACAGGCTTCTAAACAAGGTGGTAATCGCACAGCTTCTTTTCAGTTATTTTACTTCAGTTCCTTAACTGTATAGGTGTTACAGCTTAATACTTTGGCTTTTAAACAAGGTGGTGCCTTCTGTCACACACCTTCAATAAATCACACTCCTGAGGCTCCTCTAGCAGTATAACAGACCCAGGGGATCACCACACCCCTACTTACTAGTTTGGGATTCTCCTCTTTCCAGAATATCACTCCCCTTCTGACTGAAATGAGACCCAAGTCAAGTGTTCCCTCAAACTTCTATTTCTCTTGTCTGAATACTCTTAAAAAACACTAACCACTGTCTTTCAAACTAAGCTCAGAGACTTCGTTCTCTGGCTACAGATATTTTCCTCAGAGTGAATTTTACACACGCACACACGCACAGGGAGCTATGCTCTTACCCAGCTGAACACCAAGAACGTCAACTCTCCCCTCTCTAATGCTTTCCCTTTTCCCTTCCTGCTGACTCCACCCACCTCTGGCTAGATGTAACCACAGCCAATCAGAAGGAGGCTGCAGTTCAGCACTCTGGTGGAATCCTGAGGCACTGCATCTCCAAACTCTTGCCAGTGTGCTGTCAGCATAAAGACAAGGGAAAGTTTCTTACAGTCCTTTTTTATTTCAAACTTTACAGAGAGAGTCTATAGAACCCAGCCTCTTGGATAATGGCATTGTTCCGAGTGAATCTCCACTCCCTTCTCTCCCACTTCCTGATTCATCATCATCATCATCATCATCATCTCCTCTATGGATGCTGGCTAAGTACCCTCTGAGCTCTTTGCTCTCCTACTTTTAAGGCTCGCCAGGTTCTGGGAGATGGTGGGTCTGGAATGCTTTCTAGTGACGACGTGTCAGCCAGCTGCTGCTCTGGCTCTGCCTGCTCCTCCTCTCCCATTATTTCCCAACTTTTCCCTGCATCTGCCTCTGAGCTGTGACCTCCCACAAACCACTGTTGTAAATCTATCTTGTTTTCCTCTTCCCCCTCCCTGGAAGGGTCAGGATGGGGGTGCAGTCTCCACCACTCCTCCTCCTCTGCCCAGTCCCTGACAACTAGCTGAGCCTTCCATCGTAAAGAGAAAGGAAGTTTTGAGGATGTACACATGAATTTATTTTATACATAAAGACTATATGGGCCATGTAATTCCTCTAATTCAACAAATATGTTTCGTAGGCTTCAAAATATGTAAATGGCCAGACGGGTGCAAATTAAATGCTTTGTGAAGAAAAGACTGCAGAAAAAATTGTTAGAGAGATATGTACTGAGTTGCCATGCATTACCCACTAAACGTAAGAGAAACTCAAAACAGCGCTAGACATAGTTTGGAAACAATAAACCTAGCTGTTAGAAAAAAGTAATTAAATTCTCTTTAATTTTCTGGGCTCGGGTTTGCAGGACTCTTTCCACAAAAACAAGAGGGATTTCTGGATTGTGCTTCCCTCCTATAGTTTATAGAATCATAGAATCATAGAATCATAGAGTTGGAAGAGACCACAAGGGCCATCGAGTTCAACCCCCTGCCAAGCAGGAAACACCATCAGAGCACTCCTGACATATGGTTGTCAAACCTCTGCTTAAAGACCTCCAAAGAAGGAGACTCCACCACACTCCTTGGCAGCAAATTCCACTGTCGAACAGCTCTTACTGTCAGGAAGTTCTTCCTAATGTTTAGGTGGAATCTTCTTTCTTGTAGTTTGGATCCATTGCTCCGTGTCCGCTTCTCTGGAGCAGCAGAAAACAACCTTTCTCCCTCCTCTATGTGACATCCTTTTATATATTTGAACATGGCTATCATATCACCCCTTAACCTCCTCTTCTCCAGGTTTCACACAAGTCAGTGATGCAGAGATCAAGCAAGCAAGATGCCTCCACAGCTGCTTTGTTTTTTTAATTTCTGTTTCCTCCCCATAAATGTTTGCAATGTTACCATATGGGCATATATACTGCAGCCTCTGCCCCATGTGAGTGCTGAATGCTTACTGAGTATATGAGCCAAGAAAGACAAGACTGCAGCAGGGTTGTTCCTGCAGTGCCAAGGAGCCGCTGTTTAAAAGCTGAAAAATGGAATTGAGGGACAATAAAAAGATGTACTCTAGAACTTAAAGCTGATTCCTAATAGCCTAGGGACAAGTAAACAAAGGGGAGTCAGAGATTAAATTCTAGAATGAATGGTTATGGCTCTTAAATGACAAACATACCTTCCTCATACTCACTACTCCCCCTCGTGTATTATAATTAGGAGTGAAGTAAACATATGGGGGAGGGAAGTGGGGACAAGCACACTAGCTCTGCCTGCACCACCATTCTGATCGCTCTCCAACTTGTACAGGGAGATTACAGTGGTACCTCGAGTTACAAACGCTTCAGGTTACAAACTCCGCTAACCTGGAAGAGTTACCTCGAGTTGAGAACTTTGCCCCAGGATGAGAGCAGAAATCGTGTGCCGGCGGCACAGCAGCAGCAAGAGGCCCCATTAGCGAAAGCACGCCTCTAGTTAAGAACAGTTTCAGGTTAAGAACGGACCTCCAGAACGAAATAAGTTCGTAACTAGAGGTACCACTCTATCTGCAAAGGGAAACCTTCGGTACTTATAGAGGCTGTGTGTGCATTTGAAAATCCTGGAAGATCCAAGTTCTAAAATGTATGGGGAGCCTCCACAAGTACAGAAGGCCCTGTTACCTTCTGTGAGTTTGAGGAAGTGGTGGAGTTACTGCACTCTTCCCTACTACCCGCCCCCCCCCCCCTGCAATGTTGACTTAACTCCTAATTAGAATGCATGAAGTATTCTCGTGTTTAAATACTTTTCAAGAGCTTAACTCCTCCGGAGACCTACAAATGCACCCAGGTTTCATCTGCAGAATGCTAGGACCTGGGGTCCACAATTTTGGCTACTACATTCCAATCCTCAAGTATGGAGGCTGTTCTCTGAGGGTTAAGTTAGAAGATCAGCTATTTCACATTTGAGCTCTTTGAGAACTCTCGAGTGAGCTTTTCTGAGCAGTGGCAGCAGCACAAAAGTAATTCTGGAAATTTCTGCAAATGTTCTTCCTGAGAAAGCGAAACAATGTTTTTCTTTGCTGCACGCTGGGTTTTTGCAAGAAGGAGAGAGAGAGATACTATTCCTCTTTTCCATCCCCACATTACCCACTGAGCTTCTTCTGTTGCTTCTTGCAAAAGCCCACAATCCTTTAGTCCATTGAAAACTCTGTGTGCCCGTGCATATAAAGGAGATGTGGCTTCTTACTCTTCCTTCTTTGAAAGAAGGGGCAAGTTCTCCATGGGGATTTACAGAAGGCAGCAGTATGCTGGACATTCCTGGAATAGCTCAGCCAGTAGAGCCTGAAACTCTTAATCTTAGGCTTGTGGGTTCAATCCCCACGTTGGGAGAAAGATTCCTGAATTTCAGGGGGTTGTATTTGATGACCCTCATGGTCTCTTCCAATTATACAATTCTATGATTCTAATAAGTAAAAGAAACCACCCCTCCCACAAGTTGGGTCTCCCAGAAAGCAGGCTTCTGCTGAAAGTGTGGAGAACCTGTCACTGGCAAGAGGCTGGGGGAATTTACAGAACCTTAAATGTGATGCTGGCATTACAAAAGCTGTAAAATCAATCAGCTAGACTACAACAACAAAAGGTGCAAAAAGTTTCAGCAGGAAAATTATCAATCCTCATTCTTATGCAGGATATATATATGGGACTAAACGAGGGGTCTGCAAAGTTTTTCAGCAGGGGGCCGGTCCACTATCCCTCAGACCTTGTGGGAGGCCGCACTATATTTTGAAAAAATAAAATAAAAAATGAACAAATTCCTATGCCCCACAAATAACCCAGAGATGCATTTTAAATAAAAAATACATTCTACTCATGTAAAAACACGCTGATTCCCGGAATCTGCGGGCTGGATTTAGAAGGCGATTGGGCTGGATCCGGCCCCCAGTGCTTAGTTTGCCTACCCATGGACTAAACTGAACTTTTCTGAAACTCTAAATCCATTCATTTCTTCCCATTAATCTTTCAACCTGTGTGTTACGGAGAGAGAAACTACCTGTAAAATGCAAGACTTGAGCACAGCCTTTTAAAAAAAAATCCCTACTCAAGCTGCGGCTATCACAAATTACAAGTATGTGTTTCCTTATATCTCAATTATTCCTCACAACTTTTATACATCTTGTTCACCAAGGGAACTGTCCTCCACTAATAGACTGATTCAAGATAAACCTGGATTGTAATAGAAGATCCACCTCAATGAGTTATGTACCTCACAAAAGGAGGTGGCCTTTTATAATGAAGATTTTCTTGCTGACAGAAAATGGAAAGACCTTTCAAAAGGGTGTCTTCCAACTGCTATCTCAGGAATGTCATTGCTTTGCTATTGAAGTTACTCACTCTCTTTCCAGACTACTGACTTTAAGTGACCTTGCAAGATACCTAAAGGGGATACAGAATGTGCAGACACTTGGGAAGACTTTCAGTATTTTTATTTTTTTTAAAAACCAAAAAACCGAATTTGCTGAAGGAACAAAGTTACTGTTAGTTGATTTTTAAATCCATTCAGGCATTAATGTGCTGAAATGTACACTCGAAGTCATTATGATCCAATTCACCACTTTCACACACACACAATTTGCAGCACTTAGAAGGAAAGCTCTATTAATTCTGTTGGTTGCCAAAGCTTACATTCCTGAAGGCAAAAGCTTTATAGGGTGGAGGAGGGGCAAAGTAAACTTAATGGTGTGAGAGGAACCAAGCAAATTTGATAGTATTAGCCTGTTTCTAAGACAAAGCAAAATGCAAGAAAATGTTCAGCATACTGCTACCAGTGCCAGGTGGTGGTGGAAAACCACAGCTTCTTAGGATTATGCACAAATACATAGTACCTTTATAGCAATTGTGCTTTGCATTTTCCAATTCTCCACCTTTACAGTTAGGATGTGAATGTTGCAATACTCTCATTAACAGTGTTTTCTTGTTCATACTTCACACTGCACCCTGTATGCCAGTTGGGCAAATAATATTATTTTGCCTTTTTGAAATGTGCCCTTGCACTCTTGCCTGCCGAGATTGAAGAGGGAGTGGTGTGTGTGTATGTTTGACATTCGTATGGCTGAACTGCAGTCCCAGCCATTGCTCTGCCTGTTTTTCCCTATGGCCCTACCCACCACTGGAATGTGGTCTCTGATAGATTGTCCATGAGGAAATGTAGTCCTCAGGTTCAAAAACTTTCACCTTCCCAGGCTTAGAGCAACACACATAACCAAATATGGCAAGTGGAACTGGTGCTGTCAGCAGCATTTGGGGTCGGGGTGGGGAGTGAAGAGGAAAACAAAGACGCAGAAGCATGCCAGATCAAATTTATTATTATTATATTTGTTAGCCTCTTAAAAAAAAAAGCCTGAAAAGTGAAAGTGACTTACAGAAAAGCAAAGATTAAAAACAGATCTAAAACCATAATAAAAACAATCTAAAACACTGTCAATAATATGCATAAAAGAGCAAATCCAATTCATCCCCTTTCCACTAAAAAATATGCTGAGGACTGAACTCCAAAGACCTGTGTGAATAAACATATTTTTACCTGGCACCTAAAACCAGATAGTAAAGGTACCAGACATGCCTCCCAGGAGAGAACATTCTACAGCTGGGGAGCCACCACTGAGAAGGCCAGTTCTCATGATGCTAGCCTCCAAACCTCCCTCAAAGGAGGTATTCAGAGAAGGGCCTCAGATGAAAAATGTAGGGTTTCTTCATGTAGGGAGAAGCGGTCCTTGAAGCATTGGGGTTTATAGCCTCAGAAACTAATTGGTAACAATTGCAGCTGTGCCAGAATTGGTGTTATATATTCAGACTGTTTTAATTCTGGTCAACAATCTGGCTGAATTCTGTTCCAGCTGCAGTTTCCAAACTATCTTCAAGGGTAGCCCTATGTATAACTCATTACAGTAATCTAACCTAGAAGTTAGATGTTAGGGATGTTGGGGCAGAAACGGAAAGAGGCTTGGGTAGACTTGATAGGGTATGGCATGGCTCAGCATAATTTGTATATTTTTATGCCCAGATAAAATTTGCATAGAACTATGATGATGAAAAGTAGGTACCTAAACAAGTTCTTGCTCCCATCCTGTGGATAAGCAACAAGGCTATGCTAGCTCAGACTTTCCCTAGAAAAATGGCCTGAAGGAAAAGAATGATCAGGATTTTTCTCCTATTGACAAGTTCATTATTAGATCTCTTCAGTTTCAGTCTCTGCGGTTTTAAATGATGCAGTCACCAAAGGTACCATATACATATTTAAACAGTCAGAAGAATTAAACAATGCAAATATTAAAACCAGAAGCATTCATTGTTGCTTATTAGCTGCAACCATTAACATTATTATGCCTTTACAAGTCACATACCCCATACAAACAAATAAGCATCCCCCATACAGTAGTCCTGCTCTTCCTTTGACACAAACCAAGTGCTGCTTCAAGCATTTAGGAATCATGGAGAAGGCATTTCAGGCAGTAAGAATTTCTATGCAGTAAAACAGGCTTGAAAAAAACAGCTCACCCAAGGCATATAAGAACTGGCTCCAGATAAGACTGATCTGTGAGCATGCAGCGGCTCAGTATTTCTGGAAGCCGAACACTGAGCTGCATGTCTTTTTTCCTGGAAAGGAAAGAGAACCAGCTACATGTACCACCTTCAGAGAAAAGATCAACTGTTCTGCTGCCACCATAAAAGCCTTGTCTCATTGCCTCTGCAAGTATGTAGACTTCTTGCACAACAGAACTTCACTTTTCTCTCCACCTGCTTGGCAATCACCCCATTTTTAAGGCCTAGGTAATTGGAAGGAACTGTCCTGACAGATGATTTTTTTCCTGTGGGGTGGGTGGGTGGGTGGTATTGCTTTATACCAAGAACATTAACTCAACAGAAATGTGCTGTCACTGATTAAAGTCAGATAGCAGGCTGAATGAAGGGAGCGGGGTGTATAAAATGCAGAAGACAGACCTACTTCTCAGTTTCAATGAACAATTTTATTCCAAAGACAAACCTAAAAAAAAAATAAAAAATTCCCCTTTGCCTGATTTACAAGGAACTCTCTTTGGTGATGCTACCCAAAATTATAGAACTAAGTTATGAATGGTTTCCAGTCAGTTTGAGTCCTCTCGGGCCAAAACTAATTAGATACTGGGGTTAGATACCATCCCAAAAAGGCTACCTCATTTATGCATCCCAGACAGTAATGGCCACCCCTTCTAGCTCATAGATTATTGATGTGGGTTTGCAGGGGGAAGGATCTCCTAAAATTCCTGGGTGCTGGGTCCCCCCCCCCAATAATTTCTGAAATTAGTAAAACATGGGGTTTGAAGTCAAGCCAGCTTCCTTAGCAACTGGGCTTAGAGAGGTGCCACCCAGGAACAAAGCAGGGTTTTTACCCTGACAAAAATTCAACATCAGACAAGGTAAGGGGAGGCTGCCAGATTATGAGGCTGTGCTCACGGGGGGGGGGGGGATCATGCCTTAAATAAAATCTAGGTTTGGAATAGCAGACAGATCGGGAGGAGTTGCTTGGAGCAGGTTTCTGGGGAAAAGGTGGGGGCTGAAGGGCAGTAGCCATTAGCGCTGGCTGGGAAGCAGCAACCAAGCGATGGTGCTTAGGCTACCTCTGTCTGCAATGCTGGGCTGCTATGGAGAACAAGCTGCTCTTGAGATGGCGGTGCTGTAAGATCTGCACCCCTTTCATCTAAACACAGATGTAAATATGTGTAATATGTGTAATCTAAACACAGGTGTAAATATGTGTAATTAAACCGTATTTCTTAACAACACTACAGACTCTGCCCCACCTTGGTTCTCAACAGAAACATGACCCGGGGTGAGCACCTGGAACTCTCTGGAATCTTGTGCATCACTCACCAGAGATTGGGGGTGGTGCGCAAGCTTTGGAACACCATTGTATCTGGATTAGAATTAGAATACAAGTCTTATCTAGCTTTGAAACGTCCATAAAAAGGGCCGACAGACCTCCAAACATTCTGGTTGGGTAATTTGCCATTTTTACTATTAAAAATTCAGACTTCATGGGCAAGAAGGGTAATAATTCTGCTATGGCACACAGTTTTGAAATATTTATTAAACTATTACCTTCAAACACTCCTAGTTAAACACTAGTGCAACAAGATTCCTGCATCTAGGGACTATGAAAATTTATGGCATGAATCGCCAATTTATAAAGTACATTTTAGCAGAGTTTAAGCTGCTAATTGCCAGAAGAGCACAACTGCAAGTGATTTTTAAAGGAAATGTTACCCAAAAAATGGTTCTCCGTTAATAATGCCTATTGTTTGATGCATTTTTCTGGACAGATGAAAGCTTTAGGCAACTGCAGAGAAGACAGC